AAGTTCCGCAAAGATGAAAATTGAATACGATGGAAAAAGAACAGTAAAATAGTCCATGCAGCAGTTAAAAGTTCTTTGAATTGTCAACAGCAAATTTTTTAAAACACTATCATGTCTGCTGGGGGTGGGGTGGAAGGGGGGGCGGGGGGGTTGGTGGTGTTGGTGTTCAACGTTTATGTTTAAGATCTTACCTGTATCCTATAATGTCTGTTACTCTGGGATCTGTTTGTTTGTCTTACAAGCGTCTGATTTTCATTCTAGGGGGTAAAAAATAATTAATTAAAGCAAATCTTTAAAATCTTTACTTGTAAGTAGGCTAGAAAAAAATCTGCTAATCTCAAAAAGAGAAGATAGTAGCAGCCCAGAGAAAGGAGCGTGGAAAAAAATTGGTTTAAGTGTTTAATGGCAAGTCTGGTCAGCATCTAACAACATGACATCAACTTTTTAAGTTCTAAAAATATTCAAAGATAACAGGTACAAGAGTTAACTGTAGCCACTGAAATGTAACCCCCCCCCCCCCCCCCCACTATCACTCCGATCTAACCCCACCCCCCCCTCCCCCATGACATCAACTTTTTAAATTCTAAAAATATTCAAAGATCACAGGTACAAAAGTTAACTGTAGCCACTGAAATGTACCCCCCCCCCCCCACCACAACTATCACTGCGATCTAACCCCACCCCCTCCTCCCCGATCCCTCCCATTACTATCTGAAGCAGCCATTACTTGACATAACAAAGACAATACACTTGAACTGGGGGATCATTTCAAGGGATAACCGAAACCTGTTCTGGCACATGCAAATATAATCTGTCCATTGTTTATCTCCGATTCAGAGACTCAAAACAAGTCTTGACAACTCACTGATCAATCTTACAATATCTTTTGTTTTAAAAGTTTTATATACTGCTGGAACAACACACCCTCATTCCAAAAAATATAAAATGTGTCTATCCACTGTTAACAGGACTACTGTTTATAACTTAAGATCCCTTTTGACCTAAAGTTAAACTTCTACAACTCACTATATACTCTTTAAATCATGGAGTCACTCATTCCTCATTGTCATTTTCAATTAAAAGTTAATTTTAAAAAACACCAGAAAAGTTAGTTTCTTTCATATTTGAAACAATGTAATATTATGTACATTAACTCATATGTGCCACACACCAGAGAATCAAGTGACAAAAGTTTAATTTAACCAAGAGCCTCGATTTAATGTAACAGGAATAGGGACAGAAATTTAGGTAACATACAGATAATCTATCTAGTAGTAATAGGATCAATGCTCACTTTATGTTTAGAGGCATAAAAATAAAAAGCAGACAGTATATTCATCTATATCATATCTGTGAGGCAATTTAATGTTAGGTTCTATTCAGACTTTTTAAATATTAAATATGGAACCTCATACTGAACACAGCAAACATGAGAAGAAAACTTTAAAAAAATATATTTTTAAGTGCTACTTATAATTACAAATTTTGAGATAGTAAAACATGACTTTGGTCAATAAAAACGTAAAACTAAACTGTTCGTTCAGAGATTTAATTTATACAAAAATGAAAGCGAACAGTTGAGCGCAAGAACGCAAAAGCAGTAACTGATTGCAATTAAGGCTAAACCTGATCAAACAATTTAATACCTTCAAATGCTCTGAAACCCCTTTGATATTTCCATCAAACAAAAAAAACAAAACAAAAAAACAAAAGTCCATTAATGAAAATTGAACTGAAGCTCTAAATATAATTGAAATTAATTGAAGGGGGAATAGGGCACTTAATAAAATTTCAAAATGTTACCAATTTTAGCAAAGTGAGTGCACTTGTGTCAGTAGATATGGGCTTAATTACTTAGTCAATTAGTTTACCTATAAACTTCAATGGTTCACTCACAATTGTTTTTGCATGAACTCTATAATTTCAATGGTGCTAAAGGTTGAGTATCAAATTTTAGGTAGCCTATTCAATTTCTGTTTGCAAAATTCATTTGAAATAACCAGAAAGTGGGACTAAAATTTCTCAAATGTTCCATTAAGTGTTTCAATAAAATATCCACAATTGGTAAAGCCTGAAAAAAAATGTTTAAAAAAAAAAACACTTTTTCATAAAATTTAATTTAAGATTACATTTTTTAAAGGAAACTGTAAACTCACAATTGTTTCTAATTCTTGTCCATCCATTGTTCTCCTTCGTTTTGATCCTTGATGTGCTAAATCATCCTCATTCTCTACTGACCTTGACCTCAGAGAATGCCTCTGCCTAAAAGACATAAAGGAAACATTATGACAGAGATTTCGAAACATGCAGAATGTAGAAAATTAAATTAACTTAAACCCTTGTGCCCAGGATTATTAATAACTAGCTACTCATCACCTTTTTGAAAATTTTCTGAAAAGGAACAAAGTATAAGTATGTCTTGAAAAAAACTATCTAAAAATCTCTATCTAATCAGAAAACATGGATGGTAATAAGCGTCCATGTTGTTTGTTTCAAAAGAAAAAAGATGGACCATGATGATTTCATTTTTTTTTAAAAGTCTTTTTATTTTACTATCTTCCAAACCATAAAAGGCACAGAATTAACCTTTCACAGAAGCAGCTCATGTTAACTGCATTCACTTGACACATAATTTTAAAAATAATGATTAGTAAGAGGGTCAACACAAATCACCACCAAAGTTCCTAAAGTTAAATACGGGGCAGTGTGACGGAAACAGACAATCATTTTAGAAATGAGACTAAGAACCACGATCTTTAAAACCGTACAGTTAAAGTCTTTTTACGGCATAATCAGGAGATCCAACACTAAAAAAAATAGTAAGTGCGGCCACTGCAGATTATGGTTTACAGAATTTGACTTTAAAAAAATTAGATCACTTGTAGCCATTATAAGCATTAGCTAACAATAAATGATGCACAATTTGAAATCTTAAGAAACTGAACAGAAAAAAAAGCCATAGAAACTAACTTCTTAATGTCAAATGTGCCCAAACTAAATAAATCGTAAGAGATAAAAAGTTACAGTTACAGGACAATAGTAATCTACTTTTAGCAATATTGACGATATAATATCATAAAATGTTAAACCTTGTCAATGTAGAGTTAAACCCTGTCAATTGTATAGTTAAAACATTTTAGTACTAACAGGTAGGTCTTATTACCAGTTAATATGTAAGTTAAAATAAGCCTTGAGATAGGCCAAGGCCAATCACATCAGTGAGTAGGCCCATTGCTTTAGAAACAGTAGGTTTAGCGTAGGCCTAATTTAATATTAATAAATTAAAGTCAATATAATAATAATGATGTTGCTGGCTAAACACAAAAAAAAATAATAAAATACTCTACAGCCAAGGCCTTAATAATCATATAGGCCTAATGAAGTGTGTTATTCAGCTGAGCGTAACACATCCACCACCACTCAAGCAGGCCCTCAGCCTCACCCTCAGTGCTTACCTTATTTTATACTACTCATAATGAAATAGTGATAGTGTGTGCCCTTTACTGAATATAAAACGCTAAAATGTTTTTCTTTTGACATTTAAAAATTAATTTTAAGAGAAAAACGTAAGACTTAATTCTTTGAAAAAATCAATTTCAATCTGTTGCACAAGTCAAGTCCATCGCGCTGACCATGTGGACAATACAAGATCCATAATGAATGATTCATGTCTAGTCCCCACTTTATTAAGTTGACACTTTTAAGATGGTTTTAATATTGCAAAGTGATAACTTCAAGTAATGTAATTGTAAGAAATAATCATACCCTTTTCTTGACATTTTTTTTCCTACGTTGTTCGGGAAGTAAGTGTTCTCACTCCTCACTGAAATGAAATGGAAGAAAAATCAGCTGAGTTGTCTGAGCTGACTAGACCGGGTCATTCATTCATTCTTAACCTAATTTCATTAAAATACAAGTTTTGGTCCTAAAAGATTTAAATTTTGAAATCAACCGTAAATCTGAAAATTGAATAACATAAGTATTTACTTTGACAAAAATTATAATGAAGTTCGCCTACACATAAAGTTTTTCTTTTTTTTATAACCAAAATCTCACGACCTGTCGAGCTAGCTTAGCCTGCATCGCGTTATCCATTGATACGTCACTAGTTAAGTTCATTAAAGAATTCTTATGCGATTTTGAAATTTCATTTAACAAACCTTCCTATATAATTATAATTGCACGAAAAAGAATTCCTTAACCATATTGCACAATCCTTCCGAACGCTTACTGTCTTGGTTATGACTAGCACAAAACTACCGGACTTTACCGCCGAATACCTTCACAAAGCTTCCTATGCCTTCGTCCCGCCAAATCGAGGTCAACATAAAGCAATATTATCTCAATTGTTTTATTTGAAATTTATATTATTGCACAAAGAGGCTTCAAATATATGCAGTTCATACCTAAAATCGATAAAATAAACCATTCAAATTATTCTAAAATGATAATTCCATCTGGTTTCTTTCAACGTGTCAAGGGATTGACAATGCTTTATCAGCAGAATCAGTCATCGGATCGCGGGAAGAAGGGTAAAAAAGTAAGATTTCCGAGGTCAGCCGAAATGCAGGGCGCGAATACGTAAATTTTACAAAAACAATATTGATTAAATTCATTTATTTCTAAAAATTAACTTAAAACAAATATTAAAAGCAGAGTTTACATGTGTCTCAGCATTGTTTTCATTGTTAATAGGTCGCACGTGGAACTCGTCAAATTGTAAACAATCGTAGAGTCTGTTTTTCAGTGGCTAATAAGTTCGATATAAGTCATCGATTTCAAAGACATGGCATATCATTCGATAGCTTTTATCTTGAGGATTCATAATATCACGTAAAATTCATTAAGCGGTATTTATCTTTTTGAATATTACGTTAAATTCACGGGGTATAATCTCAACAGGAGACATTTACAAATGCCATAATTTTTTTTTCATTGCGCATGTCTAAGACTTATAACTATTCTGATTGGTCAAAGCAGACACACCTCCTTGTTTATATCAACAACAATGGCCTCCTTAATTTTGGAGAAATTTTGGGGAATTTTTAAACACAAAACCGGCAATGTTATTGGAATGATTCATATAAAAGCACTTCCAGGTTTCCTTATCTTAGAATACGTGTTAGGGGTTGACCATAAAATATGGATACTCATTAAGCATCTGTAGATATATTCGGAAACGGTTCATCAGTACTTTACTAAGACTTTGACTTTGACTTAGTTTAGCCTACATGATAATAATAATGATATGTTATAAGTTATAGTTATAGTTATTGTGATAGTATTGACATTGATAGTCATCTCATACAGATAGAGTTAGTATAACTATAGTTCAGACTATGGACTATGGTTATATTTATATTATATCATAGGCTGGTAATATACAATATATAAATAAAATTTTAAATATTACATATTTTTATCTGAGGGCGAGGGGCTGGGCGTTGGAGTCATAGGCATAGGCTTTTCAGGCGTGGCATAGTCATAGGTATCTTGTTCCACTATTTATTTACTTCAACTTTACTTTATTTAAGTGAGGACTATTCTAGACCAGCAAAATGAAACCTCATACTCTTATTGGTCTTAGTCATTCAAGTCACTGGTTTGTTTGGATGATGTACTGTAAATGTAACGATAATCTACCACTTCAGCATTGGTTATTATAACTCGTGTTGTTCCGGTTTGTTTGAAGTGCTGTTTAAATAGTTATTCCTGAATAGTACAGTGGAGAGGGCGACTTGGTTATCTGTGTAATAGAAAGAAAGAGTGATAGCTTTTTTTTCATTGAAGTGCCAGACCCATATGCGATCATGATACAATAGTGCATAGAGAGACCCTTGTTAGCTCATTTATTGTATTAGACAGATGGGCCACTTTTGCAAACATAAACCAGATCATGTGTGGAATTTAAGAACACTCCATTGTGGTCCATCATCAACAAAATTTTGTCATTCCAAATGATAATGACGCTGGTGTCCACACAGAATTTTTGAAATATGTGTGTGCCCGCAAAACTCTAACTGAAAAGACAGTTTGGCACAAGCCATAATCTGCTCCATTCATATTTGGATGAGTTCATATTCCGTAGTCTATTTCATGGATAAGATATAAACTAAAATTCTGATTTCTTTTCATACTTTAAAAATTGTTTAAGTTTTTCTATTATAAAAATTATTACATTGTTTAAATGGTTTCTATTTTTTAAATTTTGTCCTTTAGATACATGCTGAAATGAATACGTACAATGTAATTAAAATCAATAAAAGAATTTTATCTTATCAATAAAAGAATAACCTTTTAAATAGAATAGCACTTCAAACCTGAACAATACATTTTTTTAATAACCAGCCGAACTTGCGACTGCGTCAAGACTAAGATTAAAGAAATGAACTTTTTTTTTAAATAGATTTTCTTTATCTCTCCATGTCTGTATTTGACAGGAACTCCCCAAAACAGTCATTCAGTCCAAGATATTGTTAATATTGCATGTCAGGAAGCAACACTTTACAAAAATGCTAATGTAGTAAGTTGGTTCAACTGTTGAAGCTCTTTATAATCACTAATTTAGATTGTTTCAAATTAACATGTTTCTTTTCTTGATTGATGACTTTATATTATCAAACTTGAACTTGCCACCTTTTATAATTAATTTCAATTTAATGTTGTTTACAATTTTTTTTTAAATATTGAACTTAGATCTTGCCTTAGAAACCCTCTTTCTCTATTCCAGGATGCAGTGATTCTAGAGAATATGCATGACATTCCCTATGTTCAGAGTTCAAAAATTGGTCCTGAAGTGACATCTGTCTTAACTGTTGTCTGTCATGAAGTAAAGCGAATCTTTCCTAACATACCTGTGGGCATACAGGTTCTAGCAGGAGCTAATAAAGAAGCTCTGGCTATAGCAAAAGCTGCTGGGTTACAGTTTATTAGAGCTGAGGGTTTTGTATATGCACATGTAGCTGATGAAGGATTGATGAATTCATGTGCTGGCGAGCTCATGCGATACAGAAGACAAATTGATGGAGAACACATAATGGTTTTTACAGATATTAAAAAAAAACACAGGTTAGTTTTTTTATTTTTTTGGATAGGGATTTATGCCATTAATTTAAGCTTGATTTGAAAACAAAATAAAGGGAAGAATTTAATACATGTTCTTTTAATATCCATGTCTTAAACTTGATACAATGCCAGTACCATAACATACCAAAAATACAGGTAAATACACAAAATAAGTTTAGTGCAAATGGGATGAAATAATGTTTACCTTCGCGGCCCGCAAAGTAATGAAATATTCTTTATTATTATTTTTTTCTTAATAGCTTCCCCCCTCTGTCCTATTATCTTTCGGCCTGCACAAGTTTTTTCATATTGTATTTCGGCCCTCACAAACTTTTGAGTTGTGCAGGCCTGCCTAAAGGTATTGACTTAACAAATTAATTATGAAAAGTGAAGCTGTTTGAATTGGCTCTTGGGCCTTTTAATATTTTTTCTGATGTGGAAATTCACAGAAATGCAACCAATGCTCTGCTTCATGGGGAAAAAAAAGTCTGTTGTCACGCATGTTTCAATGCTAACATCACCACCTTTCGTTTTGTTCTTTTAAGTTTAGAAACTTGAGCTTAATTAGGTATTTGATGAAATGGGTGTTTGGGGTTCAAAGAATCCTTCATCAACTAAGTGTGGCATGTTGCCGCCACACTTTCCTTTGACAGCAGCCACCCCCAGATGCTCTCTCCCAACTCCATCAGACAAATCAATAGTAACTTTATGTCTTCTTTATTGTGAGGGCCCACGATCAATGTATTGATCAATCTGGCTCCTATTTATGTAGAGTGAATTCACTATGTTTCTGTGCTTGGTTTTGAAGAGGATACTTACTAGTTGCAAGGTCAGGGTATCAGGAGCTGGGGGTTGGAAGGCAGGAGGTAATAGATGCAAATGTCTCAAGTGCTGTCGCCTCAACTTTTCCTTTTGGAACCTTGTTCCAGTCCCTGATTTTCTTTGGCGGGAATGTTCTTGCTGTTATGAGCCAGATCCGCCCGTCATGGCTTTGTCCCTGTCTATAGGGGAGCGAGACAAGTTTCTGTTAAATGCTGGAGAAGTGGACCAGTCCATTTTTTATCTTGAAAATCATGGAGAGCCTGGATAAGCGTCAACGTTCTTTCAATGGTCCTGGTCAGAACTGTTTTTGATCGTCTGGAAACCTCATCTGTGAACAGTCTTGCTTGTGAGGTCAACTTCTTGAGCAGGTCATTGATGTATGCTAAGAACAAACAGACGCCTAGAACTGAGCTATTAATTTTTGTAATTTGTGTTTCCATATTCAGGACTGATGATTTCTAATGCTTAATGTTATTTGTTGAATCAAATTTCAATAAAATTAACCTAAGTTAAATTTTTTTAAATGTGAAGAGAAGTAAACATTTAATTTTAACAGATATCCAATGGCTGCACTCACCTCAGGGACTATACTTTCCTCATCCCTGAACTAGATAATAAAATATTTATATTTTCTAGTTCACACGCTATAACCAATGATGTGGATATTGTGAACACAGCCCAAGCTGCAGAATTTTTCTTGAGCGATGGCGTCATTGTTACAGGGGATGCTACTGGAAAAGCAACAAGCAGTACTGAGGTTAAAGGTAAATTACAGCATAAGTCTTACTCTCTCTAATCTCTCCAATTGTATATGTAGTATGCCATTGGCCTTGGACGCTGGAAAAATACACATGGAGTGAAAATTAGTCTGGAGGTTTTGCCATTTGCCGCACACATTGAGTGACAATTAGTCTGGAGTTGTTGCCAGTTGCCACACACATGGAGTGATAATTAGTCTGGATGTGATGCCAGTTGCCACACACATGGAGTGATAATTAGTCTGGAGGTGTTGCTACACAGATCCTTTACATTACATAGGGTACAGTGTGGTGCATGGATGAACAATGATCTCTCTCAACTATATATGCATGAAAATCCTCAGATGGGAAGCTCTGCACATCTGGCTGAACATAAAAGACCATTGGAAAGTTAGTACAATTTTCTATTAGCATATTTTAGGCGTGAGCTAGTTGCACTCTGAAGATAAAAATCTTATGAGTATTTACAAAGGCAACATTCCAGGGTAATAATTTCACCCCAGCTGGCACCATTCCAGGGTAATAATTTCACCCCAGCTGGTAACATTCCATGGTAATAATTTCACCCCAGCTGGCAGCATTCCATAGTAATAATTTCATCCCAGCTGACAACATTCCAAAGTAATAATTTAATCCCAGCTGACAACATTCCAAAGTAATAATTTCATCCCAGCTGACAACATTCCAAAGTAATAATTTCATCCCAGCTGACAACATTCCAGGGTAATAATTTCATCCCAGCTGCCAGCATACCAGGGTGATAATTTCACCCCAGCTGGTAACATTCCATGGTAATAATTTCACCCCAGCTGGCAGCATTCCATAGTAATAATTTCACCCCAGCTGCCAACATTCCATGGTAATAATTTCACCCCAGCTGCCAACATACCAGGGTAATAACTTAATCCCAGCTGACAACATTTCTTGGTAATAATTTCATCCAAACTGTCAACATTCCATGGTAATAATTTTATCCCAGCTACCAACATTTCATGGTAATAGTTTCATACCAGCTGCCAACATTCTATGGTAATAATTTCACCGCAGCTGACAACATTCCAAAGATGTTTAGGTAGAGCGTATATGTGTAGCTGTATCTATTATGTGAGATATTTGTGATGTATTTGGGTAAGTCGAAATGACTTGTTAGTTTTTGTTGTTGTCATGGTGGATTGATGGCGTACGGTAGAGTTGTATAATATTCATGGTGTAGCTTGTTGTGTGTTGCGGATTTCGGTTCGATGTGTTTTTAAGGAAGTACTTTGATTTGTGTAACGAATTTGATTTTGAGTACAGTATACATTACTCGGCCATGTTGTGATGATGTGCAATAAACTTATAGTGTGCAACAAACTATTCAGTGTTTAGTGTATTGGAATAACGGATGGCATCAGTTGCACTGGTCCGTGGGATGAAGTCAGAGACAATATCCAAACAAGTATTCATCCGACATCAAGGTTAGATGAACACTCAACATTAAGATCTACATTTCGACAGTGATGCCTGGCTGTGGAATGTCTTGGGTGTTCATTTCATGTGTGATGCCTGGCTGTGGAATGTCTTGGGTGTTCATTTCATGTGTGATGCCTGGCTGTGGAATGTCTTGGGTGTTCATTTCATGTGTGATGCCTCACTGTAGAATGTTTTTGGTCTCCATTCCATGTGTGATGCCTGTTGGTCAAGTGAGACACTGTCCACAGTTTTCTCTAAATACTGAATGTAGTATTTTTTAAATATCCCCCTGTTGCTTAAAAAAATATGGAGTCCATCCTTTTTCTAAACTCTAGCTATGGATTTGGTCCAAGCACCAGTTTCAAAGGTGTTGAGCTCAACATCAATTAGTCGGCAGTCCTCCACTTGGCATTTTTAGTATGGATTGACTTCCTTCTTTTCTTAATGCTGACACAAATTACCTCAAGATTGACAAAATTTACCTTGAGATTGACACAATTAACATTGAGATTGACAAAATTTACCTTGAAATTGACACAATTAACATTGAGATTGACAAAATTTACCTTGAGATTGACACAATTAACATTGAGATTGACAAAATTTACCTTGAAATTGACACAATTAACATTGAGATTGACAAAATTTACCTTGAGAGTGACACAATTTACCTTGAGATTGACACAGTTTACTTTGAGATTGACACACTTTATCTTGAGATATGGAACCTTTAAGCAGATAACAGGGTTTCAGCTGTGAAATTCATCTTCTGTAGCTAACAGGTTAAACATTTTCTCTTGTGCTCTCTAGAATGTTGTTCACCCCTCGCATGCAAAGATGACCAAGGCCATTTTCGACTTGAGTAGTAGCCTTGACTTTAGTTGCATTTTGGGTAAAGGGAGGGGGAGCTGCTCAATTCTCTCATTTTTGCCTATTTGATCCAATGGCAAGACTTAGTCAAGATGACTGGAAAGAAGACCAGATGACCAACAGTGTGTGTGTATGTCTTTTACTGTGCTCTTTATGCATCCTACGTCGCAGAAGTTGTCAGAATTTTCATTGTTTCATTGGGATAAAGCCTACGGGTTGCCATCTCCGTGTTTGATATCAGAGATTGCCTTCTTTTATATGGGTTGCCATCCAAGGTTAACGAGTCCCATCCACCTGGGGTGCTGATGACATTTTTGCTTTCTGGGGAGTGAATTCCAGTCCACTAGCTTGAGATCAACTCAGTTTAGACCACACAGCCACCCAAGACATTCCACAACCAAGTATCACACTTGAGTTCTCTATTCAACATTGTCTCATTTCTCTATTCAACATTGTCTCATTTCTCTATTCAACATTGTCTCATTTCTCAATTCAACATTGTCTCATTTCTCTATTCAACATTGTCTCATTTCTCTATTCAACATTTTCTCATTTCTCTATTCAACATTGTCTCATTTCTCAATTCAACATTGTCTCATTTCTCTATTCAACATTGTCTCATTTCTCTATTCAACATTGTCTCATTTCTTCATTCAACATTGTCTGACTTCTCCATTCTGCAGCTGTTTTAGGTGGTGTAAATATCCCTGTTCTGGTTGGATCTGGGGTAACTAAGGACAACTTCCACCTTTACAAGCAGGCCCATGCTTTGATTGTGGGCTCACACTTCAAAAGATCTGGTCATTGGCAAGAGGAACTGGACCCCTTGAGGATTCAATCATTCATGGAAACTGTTAGACAAGTGCGACACATTCCTGTAGAATCCACTATGATTTTATAACAAATGTTAATGCATGCCAGATATGAGCCTGCATTCTGTTTTATTCTAGAATTTATACAATCAATTCTAGATTTTTCAAATTTTTGTGTCAAAACATTAATATTTTAAACTTTATTCTGGTTTATCACATTTGTAGCATAATTCTAGAATGTCACAAGTTTGTGTCGAAGAAATCAATGTTCGGAGCATCATTCTAAAATGTCACGAGTTTGTATGGAAGAATTCAATGTTCGGAGCATCATTCTAAAATGTCACAAGTTTGTATGGAAGAATTCAATGTTCGGAGCATCATTCTAAAATGTCACAAGTTTGTATGGAAGAATTCAATGTTCGGAGCATCATTCTAAAATGTCACAAGTTTGTGTGGAAGAATTCACATTTGGAGCATAATTATAAAATTACCCCAATAATAATTTACTATATAAAGCTCAGTGTGACAGTTTGTTAATGGGTTGATCAATAACAAGAAAACAAAACAATGGATGTCATAATCCATAATACCCTTATTCCAAAAGCTGTAATTAAAAAACAATAAAATGTAGAGGATAAAGAGAGCAATTTTTTTTCAAATGGCTTCAAGTGAAGTTAAATTATATTTGGTGTGCACACTTTTAATAAGCCTATATTCAGAATGGTGCGCTTTCAAACATCTATTAAAGGAAGGTTTTCGGTGCACTTTCAAACATCTATTAAAGGAAGGTTTTCCGTGCACTTTCAAACATCTATTAAAGGAAGGTTTTCGGTGCACTTTCAAACACCTATTAAAGGAAGGTTTTCCGTGCACTTTCAAACACCTATTAAAGGAAGGTTTTCCGTGCACTTTCAAACACCTATTAAAGGAAGGTTTTCCGTGCACTTTCAAACATCTATTAAAGGAAGGTTTTCCGTGCACTTTCAAACATCTATTAAAGGAAGGTTTTCGGTGCACTTTCAAACACCTATTAAAGGAAGGTTTTCCGTGCACTTTCAAACACCTATTAAAGGAAGGTTTNGGGGGGGGGGGGGGGGGGGGTTTGAACATTATATTAAAATTATCATGTAGTTCCGGGGCGTGCATAAAGGGTGCTAAATTTTCCAACAGATTTTGCTGGGGCAACTTTTAAATTTTAACTTGACTCTCTATCTGATGAATTATTTAGGGTCACTCATCTTAGTTATAATTTAAAAAGTCACCTTTGAGAGCTGGTCCCCAACAGAGCCATTATTTTAACTTAAATGAAAAATTTCTAGAGTTACAGCATTTTGTTTTAGATGTTATAGTATAGAGACCGACCGAAAGCGATTTTCTGATTTCGGCCGAAGCCGAAAATAGGCCGAAAGTTTAAAATGACTTTCGGCCGAAAAAGAAAAAAATGCCGAAAGTTTAAAAATGACTTTTGGCCGAAACCGAAAAAAGGCCGAAAGTTAAAAATGAATTTTGGCCGAAGCTGAAACCGAAGCCGAAACCAAAAATGAAATATTAAGATCGTTTGAAATTCGTTCCCCCATACATTCTGCATACATCGAAAATGATGTGGGAAAGTATAAATATTTACATTCTTTTTATAAAAAATTAGATAATCGTGAATATTAATAAATAAACATCTAATATAGGGGTCTCAAACTCGCGGCCCGCGAGCCATTTGTGACCCGCAAGACGATATTTTGCGGCCCGCTACATGACAGAAAAGTTTAGTGTAAATGCGCCGGCCCGTTTCCCCCATTCTCATATCTATAACGTGACTCTCCGCGACGGTTTCAGTCGAATCTCACCGACTAGTCTAATTCTGATTTTTTTTGTATATGTCTCTATATATTTTTGTATGCCAGCTCTCTGGGAACAGTGAGTAGGTGGATGAAAGTGAATCCCATCTTGAGAACCCTTAATGATATTTTTGTTATTTATAAAGGTTGACCAGATTTTAACAGTTGTAATCGCTTTTTGTGAAATACTTGATGCGGCCCACTCTCATTCAGACACTACCTCCTGCGCCCCCCACCCTGGTGATTTGAGTTTGAGACCCTTGATCTAATGAATACTTTGGATTTTACCATTTTAATATAAAAGTAATTTAGTTTGCTTTACAATTTTTTAACATTAGTATGGTGGGAGAAAATTTGGCAAAAATGGGGGGGGGGGGGGGGGAATTAATGCAAAATATTATTTTTTTTAACCCGGGTCTCTAAAAAATGTGGTTCTAAAAGATCACTTAATTTGTTCTTAAAGATCGCTTAGTTTGTTGTTAAAGATCGCTTAGTTTGTTGTTAAAGATCGTTTAGTTTGTTGTTAAAGATCGTTTAGTTTGTTGTTAAAGATCGTTTAGTTTGTTGTTAAAGATCGTTTAGTTTGTTGTTAAAGATTGTTTAGTTTGTTGTTAAAGATCGTTTAGTTTGTTGTTAAAGATCGTTTAGTTTGTTGTTAAAGATCGCTTAGTTTGTTGTTGAAGATCTTTTAGTTTGTTCATAAAGATCGCTTAGTTTGTTCATAAAGATCGCTTAGTTTGTTGTAAAGATTGCTTAGTTTGTTCTTAAATATCCCTTTGTTTGTTGTTAAATATTGTTTAGTTTGTTCTCAAAGATCGCTTAATTTGTTCTTAAATGTGCCTTAGTTTGTTGTTAAATATCGCTTTCGCTGAGTATTAAAATGACCGAAAACCTGAGTCACTTTCGGCCGGATGGCCGAAAGTCTAAGTCGATTTCGGCCGAAACCGAAGAAAAACCGAAAGTTAACTTTTCTCTTTTGGCCGAAACCGAAATTAAGCCGAAATTTAACTTTTCAGTTTCGGCCAAAACCGAAACTTGTCCGAAAGTGATAAAATGGCCACTTTCGGCGCCGAAACCGAAGCCAAAGCCGAAATTCGGTTGGTCTCTATTATAGTAATGATGTAATGATTACATAAAAGAATAATTTTTTACAAGTTATTTGAAGGTTTTAAAAAAAAAATTATACAATTTTCAACAAGGTCTATATAGTTCACCATAGATATAACCATTATGAACGGAAATTTTAGTATTGCTTTATAGATTTCTTTACTTTCCTGGGAATCTCCTCGGTATCTGTGAATAAATATTAATGATAAGTTTCTTGAAGTTTATTCCTTTGAATTGTTTTAATGAGGGTTTAAAAATTATAAAAATGTTCTTTTTATGTTTCTATAAGTTTCTATGATTTTCCTCAAACATTATGAAATCAGAATTTAAATACATGTATATAGTTTTGCAATTTCTAGAAAGTTCCAAATGAGTAGGAGGTTCTATAATGTGTTTTGTTTAAAATAGCCAAAGCTTAGAAGGCTCACGTTACAATGCAAGCTTCTTTGTTTATAGTTTCATCTAGGCCAAACTTGGTAAGCATGCATTTTACAATTTTACATGGCCTTTTAAAATATCTGTGGATTTCAATCTAATAATATCCACATCTTTTTGTTGGGGGGGGGGGTTGTCCCAATTTTACATTAGACAAAACGATTTATCTTTGGGATTTTTCAACCAATTTTGATGAGATGATTTTTTAAATAAATTTGTTTCGTTATCCAACCTAAAATATTCACAGCTGTAAAATATTAAAGACTTACTTCTTTTGGCTCTGGGGCTTATCAGTGAACGTTTAAAAACATCATCTTTGCAATTCCTTCAAATTTTAAGAGGATGATTTCCAAAATCTTACTTAAATCAATTTCATAGTGCCCCTATCTTATGGATAACTAAAATTGCCCCTTTTGAATGAGAATCCTATTTTATTTTAATTGATAAATGGCCTTGGCTTTAGCATTGGTGAATTGTGTTTCTTACCATCTTCCGAATTACTGATAGAAATATTTAATTCGGCAGATGGTAAGAAACGCAATCCAAGTCAATGAATAATTAAAACTGTGAATAAAAATCTATTATTATTGAAAGCTTTTAATTTTAGAGAAAACTTTATTTTTAAGTGAATTCATTATTGTTTGTTTTGTTATTGAAATGTTAAGTTTAACAATGAAAAAAGTTGAAGTTTGATAAATCCAGTGAAAGTTTAATACTCTTAATTTGCTTGTAAACATTTTGTGATCAGAAGTTAACTGTCATTTTGAAATTTTGATGTCAGTTGTCATATTTTGTTTCATCTTTTACTCATTAACAAATATCACACACATCATCTTTTACTAAATGTTTAATAAATGCCTTGACTGCCATTTGCACTTGACCCACACAATTTACAGGCGCTGCAGCTACAAGGTACTTTTATATCAAGTTTTGCCTGGTGCATGTAGTAATGCCATGCTAAGCTGGAGCATTGTCCAGATCACCAAATAATATGGATTATTTAATTATGGACCCAATGTTAAGACTTTTATTTTCAGTGAATCTATCTAGTTTGGTCATTTAAAAGTTTTATGAATTAGGATGAATAATCAGCATCATATGTCTCAATGTACTTGCTGTTTATAATTAAGTTTAATTTGTTGGGGTTTTTTTGTAATCACTTAGCAAAATGTTTAATATTTTACAACAAAAATGTGTTTATACATGTGTTGAAATTTCACTGCCTTGAAAACTTTTACATTCAAGAAATTATTTATTTATTTTATAATCAGTTAAATCGCTAATAAAAAATTATTTAAAAATTTCATTAGTTTTTTTTTGTGATTTATAATCATTATAAAGCCCATCAGTTTGATATTTATTTTCATGTTCAAAATTTTTATCCAACTGTAGCTCATGTGGTAAGGCTACAGCTACTTTTACATAGACAATCATTTTTTAATTCCATGCTTTTTTGGCGTCAGTGGGTTTTTTCTGTACCTCCCAACAAATTAATTCCACCTGACTTTTAATGCAAAAAAACTAGGGACAGCCAAAGACAAAACTAAAACACAAAAACCTTTTGGTTAAAAGGACAGAGTACTATACCATTGCCCTTAACACCATAGAGATTAATAAATATGACAACCAAACCATTATATTTTGTATTTTAATTAGTTAAACATATAAAATACAACAAGAAATTGATTGTTAACTTTAAATATATATATAAAAATACTCTTCACTTTTGAGTAATTTTGAGGCCTACATGGAATTAAGCCCTTCATTCATATAAATACAAAAAAACAGCAATGAAATCTTAGAGCTCATGATCTTTGTTCAAAAAGCCCTTTTGAGGGGTTGAGAAAACAT